TAATGGTTAATTTTATACTCTTATTGAGTTAATATTATAAATTTCGAAAAAAATGATAATTTTGTTATTGTTATATTTTAATGTCTTTTACTTTAACTTTTTTTATTATAAATAAATAATTAATTTTATTTTTTAATAATATCCTATTATTGTTAATAATTTTTTTTATAAAAAATATCTTTTCTATATAATAAAATATTATTTAAATGAAATTTCACTTAATAAAAGTTTTTTTTTATTTTATATTTTAATTAAATTTTTACTTTAGAAATGGCATATTAATTTGTAGAAAAGACATCAATGTATTGTTAGTAAAAAATTACATTTAAAAATAAAAATAAAAGTATATAGATTATTTTGAATATTCATATTATATATATTTATATATATAAATATGAATATAATTATAATTATATATATTTATATATTTATATATTTATATATATACATATTTTTATTTTTATTTTAATTTTAAATTTAGTTATTAACTATTGTTATTATTTTTTTTTATTTTTTTATTTATTTTTGTGTATTTAATAATTATATATCTTTTATTTTTTATATTATTTTATTTTGTTTAATATTAAATTATCTAATTATTTTTGCATTTTAATTAATAATATATATTTTTTTTGAGAAAATATTACTTAAGAGAAAAATTAATTAAATACTTTATATTTATATTAAAAAAAATAAATGTGTTTTATTTTAATTTTTTTTATTATTAAAATAAATTATTTTCATTAAAACAATTTTTTTTATTAAATTTTATTCAAAAGTTATTAATTATTTATTTGTTAAAAAAATTAAAAAATGCTTTTAAAATAAAAGTCATAAACAGCTAAACCTACTTAAATTAGGTTATAAAAATCACTATAAAATAGTAAAAAAATAAAAATTAAACCAAGAAATAACAAAGAAAAATAGTTAAATTATCAGAATTGTAAAATGCTAAATATTTAAATTAATTTTCTACAAATATATCATATAAAAAGTAAATAAAAAACAAATAAACAAAAACTTTAAAATAATATTTTTATTTTTTAAATATAAATATTAAAAGTTAAGAAGTAAAAAGTTTTGAAATATAAAAAATTTAGTATAGTTTTCCTTTTAGGAGTAAACAAAAAAAAATTGAACAATAATATATATATATATATATATATATATTTATATATATAAAAAAAAAAAATCTAGAAACTTTATATGGATATAGATATACATCTACAAATTTAGATAAAGAAATAATTTAAAATAAAAAACATCAATTTCAACAGAAAATATAACAATAATAATCCTCATAAAAGAAAAACTAATTTAAAGTAATAATATAAACAAAAATAATAATAATAAAATAAATAATAAAAAGTATAAAATTGGCAAAGGAAATAATTCTTAAATAATATAAAAAGTAATGTAAACACGCAAAAACTGGTCCGAATATACACAAGGACAATAAATATAATTTCAATGGCAATCTTTAAGTTAATAAATTAAATTTTAAAAAATAAATAACACTTTTGTTAACCATTTTGAATTCCATTAATAACTAACAACAAAAAATAACCTCTTAAAGAATATCGAAAACTATTCGAAATTTCACCAAATGTATGTCTATGATATTACTCCTTTAACTTATTGTATAAATAGTGATAGTCCTACTTTTTATAATGATATGGAAGAATTTTTAAGCTACTTTTTATCGAAATCATGTAAATATATATATATCTATTTATTTAATCTGTATTTTTATAAAAAACATTATATCAATAAAACAAAGTCCATCATTCATTTTTTCGAATTGAATTTTTAATAAATATACATATATATATATATATTTAAATATATTTACATATATTTATATATAAACACATTTATCATTATTAAAAAATATATTTAACAGAATAACCTTCATAAGAAATGTTATATATAGAATAATTAAGACTTCTACTGTAAAGCTATAACTAAAAATAATCTATATATCCTCAAAAGTACACCGAAAACAATAAAAAATTGGCTTTTGTCAACCCAGGTATCATTAGAGTCTTTATTAAGGTCAAAACATTTGGATTTTGAAGCCTACAGATTTTAATCGAGGAAGTGGAATTTTACTTTTTAACACTGCTAAGGATTTATTGGATATATTTAAAAAATACGGTGATAAATACATGTAGAAAAAATTCGTTATATAGAAATACATTGAATAACCATTATTAATAAAAGAAAGGAAATTCGATATTAGAATTTGGGTAATGGTAGTTGATAATAAATAAAACGAAAAAAAGAATAATAATTAAAATAATTTATAAATTTATATTTTTAAAGAAGGCTATATAAGAACTTCTAGTGAAAAATATTAGACTTAATAATTAAATGATTTAATTATCCATTTAACGAATAATGCAGTTTAGAAAACAGACTAAAGATACTCAAGATTTGAATAAGGAAATTAACTTTCTTATGATTAATTGGAATAGGTTGCTGGGATTAATTTTAGAAAAGAAATTTTGGGAAAAATAAAAGAAATTATATGTTTTAGTATTGATGCGGTTAAAAATAAAATTAGTGGTATTAATAATAATTTTAAAGGGAATTAATTTGAGATATTTGGTTATGACTTTATTATAGATTAATAATTAAATCCATGGCTTATTGAAGTTAATACCAATCCATGTATTGAAGAGTCCAGTTTACTTTTAAAATAGTTAATTCCGAGAATGATTGGTATATTTATATTTGTTTATAGTCTTTTTTTTTTATTTTAAATTTTTTTGTTTATTTCGTTAGATGATGCTTTTAAAATTAGTATTGATTCATTTTTTTGTGGGGAAAAAATTGAGGAAGGAAAATAATATTTTAAACTTAAAAATTATAATGATGATGAAAATTTATGGTTTTTTTTTTTATATTTCAATTTTTTTTTAAAAAAAAACTAATTTTTTATAAAAAGGGAATTATAATAAAATGTAAATTATACAATTTTAAAAAAGAAAAGATTATTAAAAGTATAAAAAGTTTGAAAATAACAAAAAATATTATTAAAACTAAATAAAAAATAAGAAAAAAATAAATTTAATTATATATATATATATATATAATTTAATATTAAAGTCTTTTTTTTTATACTTTTTACAATATGTGTCTTTACTATTAAATTATTTTCTTTTTTTTAAAAAAAAATTTAAACTTAAAATTTTAATATATTAAAAAAAAATTCATATAAAAATAATATTGAAATATTCAAATAAAAAAAATAATTAACATAGTAAAAAAAAGCATAATTTTTATTTTATTTTATAACAAAAAAAAAATTATTAAAAAAGTAATGACTTCTTAAAATCCACTTTCTCAATTTGGTTAAATGGGTTTAAATTAATTTTCTTAAATGAGAATTCCTTAAACAAATTATACATAATCAAATACACAATATATAAACGCATAAAATTATTCTTAAAAAACTCCGTAAATAATTTAGAATTATAAACAAGCAACACCGAATAATTAATAGACTATATATAATAATTAATAATAAGGAAATTTTCAGGAATATAAAGATGAAAATAAATATTAATAAAAAAATAAAAAATTAGAAAATAATGAAATGATAAATTAGCAAAAAGAACCGAAAAAAGAATAATTATTACAAGAAATTATAAAAAAAGATAAGTAAATGTAAATTAATTAATAAAATAAAGAAAAATTAGAAATTGATAAATATGGAAATCCATTAAGTACAAAAAATAACAATTAAAATTAAAATATTTATAAAGAAAGTTAGCTTTTTAATATAAGATAAAAAGTTGAATTATAAAATAAATAAATAATATAAAAATATATATTTTAAATTATAATGATAAAAATATATATATGAATATATATATATATATATTATATAAATATATATATATATATATATATATATAAATATAAATATATAATTATTTATATAATAAGTAAAGTTCTTAAAATTTTATAGATTAGAATGAAAATTATGTTAATAAAATATAATATCATATTTCATTTGAAAAAGATCATCCTTAATAACTTGACGAAAAAAAATATACTTAGAATAAAATGAACTTTAATATTAACGAGAAAGAAATTTATTAGATTTTGGCATATATAGAGAAAGGCAAGAAATGGATTAAAGGTAGAAAATTCAAGAAGAATACACGAAATAATAATTTTTATAATAGTAGTAATAACAGAACTCTTTTTTATAATAGTAGTAATAATAGAACTCTTTTTTATAAAAAAAATAAGATGATCTAATATTTAATAATGATAGAAATAATAGAAGAAACAAAGGAAAAAATGAAAATAATTTGATTTAAATAGAACATAGATTAGTTCGTGAACTTCCTCTAGAAATCACTAAAACTGTAAAGGAGTCTATTTAAAATGAATTAATGTCTTTGAGAAATGATATGTATAAATAAACTAATTCTTTTGGCGAACAGATTCTTAGTATGAAGATGCAAATGTAAATGGCAAATTAGAGAAGAGTTTAGGCTGAATATGAAGTCCTTTAATTATAAAACGAATTAAAAAAAACATAGATTTATGATGAAATTAGGTAAAGGGAGTTATATAATGCTTTTGTTTTGACAGATAAGAATGATATTTTTTTCGGGAACTCAAAATTATAAGGAAGATTTGATGATAAAAATGATGAAGAGCTTTTTAAAAATGGGAAAGAAGAGAAAAAGAGGGATTTTTTTTAAGATAAAGTATTGGATAATATAGAGTTTTTTTAGAATTTAAAAGATAAGTTTTAATATGAATAATTATTTGATTAAAGAGATTTATATGTCTAAAAAAATAAAAAAAAATATGAAGATAATAATAATAAATTTAATGTAGAAGAATATATTTATAAAAATGAAGAAAAATTAAATAAATTAAATTAATTAGAAAACATTTCTTATAATAAAGAAAATTTCTCTTTTTTTAATTTTTTAAATAATAATTGAAAGAAATAAAAACATATATATATATATTTTTATTTTTTAGTTTTTTTTTGTAATAATAAATATAATTTATAGTCTTTAATTTATTCATTTAGCTTTTTGTAAATTATTAAACCATTATCAGTCATAAATTATTGAACTTGATATTCCCTAATTATATGCTTATATCTTGTGTATTTATAGACATTCTTATATTATAGATTATAATTTGGTATTTATTGTAATTAGCATATTAAAAGAGTTTAAAACAGGAAATGAATGTCGATTAAATATAAAATATGGATAAAAAATTTAATGAAATAAGTACTATTAAGTATATATAAAAATAATATAAGAATATAAAAATTCTAAAAATATATATATATATATATATATATATATATATATATATATATTTATAAAAAAAAAGTATAGATTAATAATTTTTTAATAAAATTTTATTATTTTAACAGTAAAAAAAAAAAGAAAAATATGAATTTTTTTATTAATAATAATGACAATATATTATAAGATTTCGATATTTTATAAAAATTAGGCTCTGGAGCATTTAGTAATGTATATAAAGTAAGGAGAAAAAACGATAATTCAGTATATGCAATGAAAAAAGTAAAAATAGGTAAATTATAAGAAAAAGAAAAGAAAAATGTTATAAATGAAGTACGTTTTTTGGCTTAAATTTAACACTAAAATATTATTAATTATAAAGAGGCTTTTTATGAAAAAAAAGAGGATTTTTTATATATTTTAATGGAATTGGCAGAAGGAGGAGATTTGTAAAATAAAATAAAATAATTTAGAAATAAAAAATAATTTTTAGATGAAAAAATTATTTGGAATTATTCAATTTAAATTGTCTTTGGACTGAAAATTCTACATGATTAAAATATTCTACATAGAGATTTAAAACCAGCTAATATTTTTATTCATAAAAATAATTAAAGAATTATGCTAGGAGACCTTAATCTGTCAAAAAAAATTACATCTAATGGATTTTTATATACTTAAGCAGGTACACCATATTATTCCTCACCAGAAATATGGAATAATTAACCATATGATTATAAAAGTGATATTTGGAGTCTAGGATGCATTATTTATGAAATGTGTGCTTTAAAACCACCTTTTAGAGGTAATGATATGGAAGAATTAAATAAAAAAGTAATTATAACTATATATATATATATAGATATTATTATATATTTTTATTAATTTTAGATTTAAAAAGGTATCTATGAACCTATTCCTAATCATTATAGTTTCAATTTAAGTTACTTTATTTAAAAACTTTTAAATGTAGATTTTTAATAAAGACCACTTTGTGGATAAATATTATAGTTTTATTTTATTTAAAATAAAGTTTAAGATTTATTAATAAAAAGGAATAAAGATGAAGATATTATTAATAAAAAAAGTTAAAAATTAGAAGATTTTTTTAGTGTTTTTAAACCTTTTTTATTAAAAAAGAAATAATATATAAGAGAAAATAGATGTTATTCAATGGAAATATAATAATCTAATATTAATTAGTTTTAGAATATTATTAATAATAAAATTATTATAGATAAATGTTTTTTATAAAAAATATAATAAAAATAAAATAATGTTAGTTTGTAAAATTCTTAACAAAATAAAATAAAAGTAGAATTGGTTAAAAAAAATAACTTAAATATCTAAAATTATAATAATTCTATTTATATTAAATAAAAATAAAATGATTTTTAAAAAAGTAATTATATATATGTAAATATATTTTTATATATATTATTTTATTTATTTATTTATTTTTTTTAAAAAAAAGATGATAATATCGAAAATTTTGAAATTATAAATTTAAACATGGATAATGAATATTAATAAAAAAGAAGTTAGTCTATTTAAATAAATTGTCAAGTAATAAAACCTTAAAAAAATAATTAATCTAATATAAATAATAATATTTAAAAGTTACCTCCTATAAATAAAAATTATAATAATTATGGTTCTTATATAATTAAAAAAATATTTAAACATAAAATTAAATATAATCCAAAATGAAATAAATAACTAATATTTGTATTTTTAAAATCATTTTTTATTTTTTAATTAAAAAATAGAATCTTCCTTTTTTTTTTTTTATAAATAAAAAAATATAAATAGTTTTTCTAACAAAAATATTCATTTATTAATTATTTATAAAAAAAAAAATATTTTAACAAAAATAAAAATAATGTCTGATTTTATTATATTAATTCAATCATTTAAAACTTTTTTCGAGAAAATTTTAGATGTAATAATCGAACCAAAAGATATAATATAAAAAGAATGGAACTAATTTAAACAAAAACTAGATTAAAAGGACATTACTTAATCCTAAATATAAAGTTATGTGAATAAAATAAATATTGCAAAAGAAAAAAATATCCAATATAATTATCAAACAAGTATCAAAATGGAGAATTTGACTGATTATCCTATTTTTAATACAGAGGAGATAGATTCACCATTAAAAAGAATATAAATAAGTTAAATAAAGTTATTAAATAATTTAAACGAAATATCTAATATAAAAAGTATGAAAAAATCTTTTGAAGAAAAAAGAATATAATTTTTAAATTTAATAAAAAGTGAGATTTGTGAATTTCTAAAAGGCAATAAAAATATGGAAAATTCTGATAAATAACATTCGACATTTTTTTTAAAAAAAGACTAAATTTAAGATTCAATTAGAGATTATTCAATTTATTCTAAAAAAAGTAATAATAAAAATGATGAAAAAGATAAAATTATAAATTATTAATCTAAACTATTATTAAATAATAATTAAGATGAAGAAAATAGTAAAATATCGTTTGAAGATAGTAAAAAATAACCTAAAAATTAAAATTATATTGATTAAATTGACTATATTAAATTTAAAAATATCAATAATAATAATAATAATAATTATATGTTTACATAAAGTCCTGACTATTTTTAATACAATAATTAATAATAGGAAAATAACAATATTAAATTATAAGAATTTCATTCAGGTTAAAATGTTTGTGGTCAATAATAAAAAAATAATAATGAAATCGATAATTTAGTAAGTAGGATTTTAAAAGAATAGAAAGAAAAAGAAAGTTAGGAGAAAAAAATAGGATATAATATTGAATAAGATTAACTTATTTAAAATATTATTAATGGTCAAGGATATAATTATTAATAATAAAGAAATAGAAATAAGGTTTCAGACAATAATATACTACTTTCTGATTAATAATTTAAGAGTAATATATAATTAGACATTAATAAAATTTTAAATAATAAGGACACTAATAAACTTTGATTGGTATATTTCTAATATAGATATATAGTTAATTATTATTTTTAAAAAAAAATATAATAATATTATTTGATATTAATTTAATTTTTTTATTTCATATAACTTTAATATTATTATTAAGTTAAACAATATTTTTTTGATTATCTTCTATATTGTTATTATTTTCTTATATTTTTAAATAACTAAAATCTTATCTTCTATAAATTTAAAACATAACTTAAAAAAAAATACCAAAAAACACACAAAAAGAAGCTAAAATAACTTTTAAGAAAAATAAATAAAAAAATAAAAACTAATTTATATAATATTTTACTTTTCAATATGCTAACTTTAAATCTTTCCAAAGAAATTTTTAAAACATTAGAATTAGGAATAAAAGCCCAAACAGTTATAAACAAGAATGAACTCAATTAAAGCGAACAAAAAATGCCAATAACAAAATTATTTACCTTAAAAATTATTTATAAATATAAATTTTTATAAATACTTAGAATAATATATATATATATAAATATATATATATATATATATATATATATATATTTATATATATTATTTATATTTATTATAAATACATTTTTTTAAGTAAATTTTTTTCTTATAATTTATTCAATACAAAAAATTATAGATACAATTAAAGACCAATAAAATGTTTTATTTGTCATTTCATTAATTATAATATAAATCGACATAATTAGAAAAATATTAATAAATTAAGTTTTTCTTCCCCCTAAAGGAATATAAACATACCTTAGGATCCATTAATAATAACTTTTTTCGTAATTTTATATAATTTCAGATAAACTTATACATGAAAAAATACATTTTCCTACGTTATCAGTTGTTTTTATATTATCTAATAGTGAGACAAAGGTGCCAAGTTTCCAATAAAAAACTAATTTTGTCCATTTATAACATATATAAGAGATTAAAATCACTAAAATTTCAAAACCAAAGAGCTTTCTTTTCCATATATATAAATTTTATTCATGAAGAATAAAGGCAGTTGGATATATAGAAATATTAATTAATTCAACTAAAAAGTAATATAATATTAATTTTAGAAATTCTCTAAATAGATTTTTTTAGTTAATAAATGTCTTAGTATTTTTTCTTTAATTAACAAAATCATTATATGTAATTATAGGTCCCCTATAAAATAGAGGAATATAAAATAAATAAGTTAAATAAAATTTAATATTATAATCATTTATTTCTTAAAGTTAATTTATTCTTAAATTTTAACATTTTTATATATAAGTACATTCTTTGCAAAGACTTAAATGCTTTTGTAAATTTATTTAATAAAGTTTATAATAATTAAAAAAAAAATCAAAACTAAAGCTTAAGGATCTTAATATTGTATAATATACTACTATGTGCCATATATATACTGATTTTAAATCGAAAAAAAATATTTCTTGTGTTATAAAATTAAATGGTAAACCATTTAATATATATATGAAATTTATAAAGAACATATTTAATATTATCCTTATATATAAAAAAATATTTAAAAATTTATAAATATATTTACATAATTGGAAAAAATAAATTTTTGTATTTTATAGTTAATTGTGTCATAATATAATTTATTATAGCAATTAGGAATGTATAAATAAATTTCATTCTAAATATAAGAAAACCAAAACAAAATCCAAAAGTAATATAAATTATACATAAAGTATTTAATTCATTTATTTTTCTTGATGTAACTCAATATTTTTATAATATATATTTTTTTTTAAATAAAAATTAAATATATAAAACTATATAATATATATTAAAAATTGATTATTAAAATATTTTTTACTTAAAAATATAAGAATTATTAAAACTATAACATAAATATAATTAGTTATATTTGTCCATTCTAAATCCGATGTATCATGTGCATAATAAATCGTGTCTATTGTTTCAGAACCATTGATTTCATTTGTAGTCCAAACAACTTTTATATGTTTAAGATTTTTTTTTTTTAATTGATATATATAAATGATTAAATTTAATAACTGAATATATTTATTATAGCATATATTATTAATATAGCCCAAAAAATAATGGATAATAGTAAAAACAAAATTTTAAATATTTTTTATTATCTTTATTTTTACAAACAATGAGTTTTATCTATATTCATTTAATTTTATTTATTAAAAAATTGATGTAATAAATATTAAAAATTATTGAAAATATTTTAAGAAAATAATAATATAATAAAAATATGAGGATAATTAAAAATAATAATAATAAAAAAATATGTGTAATTTATAAATGAATAATTAAAAGATAATAAATTAAATATATTAAAAAAAAATTAAAAAAAAAAATAATATATATATATATATAAAAATATATATATATATATATATATATATATTTTATATATATAATACATTTTACATTTTTTTAAATTTCATATATTTATTTATATTATTATATTATTAAATCTAAAAAATTAACATTTTTTTCTTAACATTTTATATTTTCTGAATTCATTAATAATGTTATCTAATTTTATTAAATTTCATAGTATTTTTTTATTTTAATATAAAAAATATAATGTAATAAAATAATTATATTTTTTAAAACATAAAATAATATTTATATGTATAAAATAACAATTAGTTAAAAATATATATAATATTATTATTAATAATTATAATATTTTGTTATAATATATTTAATCTTATTTATTTTATAAATATATTTATTCTAAAAATTTCTACTTTTATTAACCTATTTATATACAATTTAAATATATATATAATACTCAAATTAAATTTAAATTATAAACAAAAATTATAATATTTTACTATAACATTTATAAAGAAAATTAAATTTACTTTTTCCACCAAATTTGTAATAAATATATTAAATAAAAATGTAATTTATTTTTTAATTAATATAAGTAATAATTTTAATAATATTTATATTTAATATACATTAATTTATATAATAATATATTTTTCTTAGATTATAACTTTAAATTTTTGTTTTTTTTATTAAATTATAATTGTTTTATATTTATTATTTTAAAAATATATATATAAATTATAATTTATTATTTACAATATTAAAATTTTTAATATAGACAAACTCTTGTAATTATTAGAATATTAAGAATAAAATATTTTTTATTTTGCATTTTGTTTAAAAATACTAATTAAGTTATAAAAGTAAAAAATCTTTTTATAATTATATAAAATATATTTTTTATATTAAAATTATTTTTTATTTAATTAATATTTGGTTTTAATTTTTTATATATTTATATAAAAACATATATTTATTATTTTAAATTATATATTTTAACAAATTTATAATTATAAATATAATATTCAAAAAGTTTAATAAATATTTAAAATAATTACATAATTTATAAAATATATTTATATTACATAAATTTGATTTATTAACAATTATATGATTATTATATAAAGACAATTTTATATAATAATTTTAAGTTTTAATCATATACTTGAAAATCTTTATATATAATATTTTATTAAAATATTTTTAATCATTTAATTAAATAATCATTAATTATTTTTTGAATTAAATTAAAGATTTAAAATTAATATTAAATTATTTATTAATAAAAAATTGATATATTTAAAAATAATAATAAGCGACTAAATTAAAAATAAAATAAAAAAAATATTATAAAATTAATACTCAAAAATGTAATAATAAATTCAATAATTTTTAATTTAAAATAGAAACTTTTAGAATTAATAAATATAAACTTAGCAATAGTAATTTAGTTATAAATTTAATTGTAAAAAAAAAAAACAAATATAACATACAAAAAATAATTTTATCATAAATTAGAGATATTAAAATAAATATAATAGTAGATCGAAATAAGAAAAGAGAACAAAAAATTTTTAAAAATATTAAACATAAAATTCCCTTTCAATTAAATAATATAAAGAATAATATTTTTTATCCTAAAATGCGAATCCTATAAATTACTATATTATTAAAAGTAAAATAAAAAAATGTAAATAAATATAATATATATATATAAAAAAAAGAATAAACAAGTCCTACAGAAAGATTGAAAAAAAGTCTTTATGAAATATAAAAATAAAAAAAGGATCTTTTTCGAAGAAGAAGTTGTTATTGTACTCAAACAGGATAAATAGGAAAAAACTAAATTTTATAAATTAAATATTTCCAAGTGCTATAATAAAATAACACATAATTTTTTTAAAAAAAATGTCAATATAATAAGAAATACCATCAACAATCACATGTAAAAAAAGTCAAACATTTTAAACAAAAAATAGAATTAATT